AGACTCTATGGTGGGGGAACAGGATTTCCGGTCAGCTCCAGAATTGAACGGGGGGCTTCCGGTTAAGACCTTTGTGGCTCTTTGAGTGTTTAAGGTTGCTGACCCCTGCCCTAAACCCATGTTTTTCAAATTTGGCCATTTTAAGATCGGCGGACTTCAACTTCCAGAATTCCCCAGCCAGATATGTTGGCTGGGGAATTCTGGGAGTTGAAATCTACCGATCTTAAAAGATTGCTAAAGTTAAGAAACACTCCTTTTAAATGTGGCTCCTGGATGCATTCCTACAGATTTTAGGTTTAGGACAGGCTTTCCACAGCAGTGAACCCAATCCACTTGTATGGCTGGCTGGGGAATTCTGGGAGTTGAAGCCCACCCATCTTAAGATGGCCAAGTCTGAAAAACAATGCCTCAAATCACCACCTTTCGAGAGGGTTTCCCTTATCATCCTGCGTTTCTTTTCAGTGTTTCTCTAGAGAGGCAGCGCTGCAACTCAATTTCAAATAACAGAAAATATGGTTCCCTCCATCCAGATATCTGGATCTGCAAGATTTCCAAGAGGGTCACCATTCATAGCTGTTTGCAAGACCCCAAACTAACCCAGCTTTGCTACAAACTCTTGCTCACACAAGCTACCATGCCGACCCATGGTTTCACACCTTGGTGCGTTGAGCGTTAGCTAAGTCAATCTTGAATGCATCGAATGAACAGTTGCGATGCAGGCTCTTTTTTTCCAAAACCCAGCCATCTCTCCTCTCGCCACCCTTCCAATTCTTGTCTTCACTCGAGTGGAAAAGAGGGATGAGCAGACGGAGCAGATGGGGGAGGATTTCTGCTGAGGGCAGCAAAATTCCGCCCAGCCAACGAAATGAGAGATCTTCACAGCTCATCTACGTTGAATGCCAGCCAACCCCAAACGACAGAAATGAAGGAATTCTGATAGCAGAGACACGCCACTATAGGGAAGTACAGGTAGTTCTCGATTTACAACAGTTCGTTTAGTGACCCTTCAAAGCTATGGCGGCACTGGAAAAAGTGACTTATGACCAGGGATGGGCTTCAAAAATTTTAGCAAGGGGTTCTCTGCCGGGTTGCTGGGTGGGCGTGGGCTAGTCTGACTTCTGCACCATGGTGTAGGGATGTTTTTTTGCCCTCCCCAGGCTCCGGAGGCTTTTCTCGAGCCTCCGGGAGGGCGAAAACAGCCTCCCCAGGCTCCAGAGGCCCTCTGGAGGCCGGAAATGGGCCCGGCCTTCCCAAACTTCCGGTAGGCCCATTTTAGTGCACATGCACTTTAGGCACCCAGTCCGGAAACAGTTAGCCATCATTGGTATAGGGTCTCCTGCCTGGGCGGGGGGTTGGACTAGATGACCCACAAGGTCCCTTCTAACTCTTTTAATCTGTTAAAGCAAAAATATTTTCTGTTTTCTCTCTCTCTCAAAAAAAAGCCTCTGCAATCCAATTACCCAAGGAAGTTGCCTTCTCCCTCTAATCCATTCTCCCCCCAATAAGACCCAGATGCTTGTTAACGCTTCAGATACGCAAGCAGATGTCTGCAGCGGGGAGATAATCCCCAAATGGCCTCTGCTCCAGAAAGTGCCACGTGGGTGAAGTTTTCGCCACGGATGAAGCTGCTCCAAACTGGGGTACCCATTTCAACTGACAACTGGAAAGCAAACTTGGCTGATTAGATGCTTTTGCCAGCAGGAGCTGCGTGCACAAACCATACCGATGATGGGTGTGTGTGTGTGTCTTAAGATAGTTGAACTTCAACACCCAGAGTCCCTGCTAAAAGACCTGGCAGCTAAGGATTCTGGGAGTTGAAGTCCAGCACGCCTGGTTTCACCCAGTCTGTATGTCTACTTTTGGTTTTTCTTTTCTCTCCTCCCTAAGCAGCAAAGGGGTGCCCAGTTGGCATCGGTGAAACTCCTGGCTAGCAAACGGGAGGATGAAAAGTTCCCTTCTTCGCCTGAACTCTAAGAAAAGACATTTGTTGAATTCCCTCCTCCAGCTGCCGGGCGCGACATCCAGAAACAGAGAAAAGTGCAGCCAACAGGTGTGAGGAGGAGGAGGAGGAGGAGGAGAGGGGGGCGCAAATGCCTGTTTCACACCCAGGTTTCCTTTTTTAGCACGCACAAACTGCAATGACAATAATTGCTTGTCAAGTAGACAGTTTTTCGGGGAAGGTGCCACCGTGGCTGTGAAGTGGCTGTGCAATTATTATATTAAATCATAATACAAGAAAGGAAAGGTGGGCAATGAAGCTCCTTTTTTGTTGTTGTTGTTGTCTCGTGTGTCTCTCCAGAGGCAGAAACATATGTACACGGTTTGGCACAGCTGGAAAGTGGCTTCTGCTTAGCCCAGATGTCATAAACAAGGGGGGAGGGGTGTCATACCTTACATTAAGCCATGGCTTGCAGAATAAGCCTCAAAGAGATGGGTTCCTACAGAAGCTGGCTAGAACCTCTGAAAAAATGGGCAATGTACAAGCCATGTTGCTACACTAATAGAATAGAGTAACAGAGTTGGAAGGGACCTTGGAGGTCTTCTAGTCCAACCCCCTGCCCAGGCAGGAAACCCTACACCACTTCAGACAAATCTGTTATCCAACATCTTCTTAAAAACCTTCTGTGTTGAAGCACCCACAACTTCTGGAGGCAACTTCTGTTCCACTGATGAATTGTTCTCACTGTCAGGAAATTTCTCCTTAGTTCTAAGTTGCTTCTCTCCTTGATTAGTTTCCACCCGTTGCTTCTTCTTCTACCCTCAGGTACTTTGGAGAATAAATTGGGGTCGTACTTTTTCCTAAAATGTAACCTGATTTAATCCCAGTTTGCTGACAAAAAGCCATTGACGACTGGGCCCATGCAACACACACTAAACCATAAATGAAAGTTTATATACCAGAATGGCAGCCTACATCACCCAAAGTTAAATAAATCACAGTGGGGGCTTAGTGTATTTTGTAGAATCGAGCGTGGCCTACTCTGCAAGATTGTTGTGAGAGTGAACAGGAACTGCTCTTAGTCACCCTTTTGGCATCACGCATGGAACACTGCTTTTTTTTGCAGCAAAATTATGCTCAGAAATGCAGATAAACCAACATTTTAAAGTAGGGGAAGGTGAAAACTCTGTGTGTGTTTGTGTACGTGTGAAAATACTGTGTGGTTGGTTAGTCTGTCTACCTATAAATCCTGCAAGACTTTCCATAAATAATGCAATAATAAATAAACACACAGCACACAATCCATCTTGGGTTGATCCCTTAAACACAGGCCTTTCGTCACAAAATTCTTTCTAACACACACAACCTGGCCAGTATACAATCAGACACTTTTTGTTACATTCCAGATATCCACTTTTGCTCCTCTTACAGCTGGGTCACCCTCTTTTTCCATTTCACATCTCCCCCAAAGGCCTAGCTACCTCTCAGCTCTCAGGTCCAACTTATTACTATTATTACTATTACTATTACTATTAGTTTGTTTGTTTGCAGCCTGAATCGTGCTTTGAGGCAAATCCAACCTATCCATTTCTCACATCAGGAAAGCTAAAAGGGCATCTGGAGGGGTGGGAAGAAAAAACCTTGAAGCGCATTTGGCTAAAAAGGGGATTCGAAGATGCTCAGCGCCAAGGATACCTTCAGCCAGGTGCCAACCTAACAAACAGGCACGGAGTTAAGATTTACGGAGAGGCATCCGCAGTCCATCTTTCCACGACGGGCGTCCCTCAAGGAGAACAACCCTTAAAGGGTGAAAATGGCTCTTTCCTAGGTCAAGCCCTTGCGAGGGGCTCCGTTAACCAGCACCAACTCGGTTTCCCTGCTAGAGTCGGAGGCCAAAAGGGAGAAGAGCTTTGCTGGATAGACCAGAGGCTGCCGTAGAAAGGCCACAAAAGGCTGGATTTTGTTGTGGTTCGGAGCCCAGCCTGCCCTCTGGACGGAAGGAGGCCAAGCCAATGGGAAAAGCAGCCACAAACTTCCCAGCGAAGCAGCACTGAAAAACTCAGACCAGATTCCACCAAGGGAGGAAAAGGGGGGGGGGCTTCCCAAGAGAGAAGGGGGAAAAAGGCCCCTTAAAAACCCGGCGCCCAGCTTGGCAGCAGCTCCGGCAGTGAAACTGCGGGGTCCCCCCAGGAGATTCCCCCACCCCCGCAACCCCTCTGAGTTTGGAGGCTTCGGGCCACGAAGCCCAGGAAGGCGATGATGCAGTATTTAGCTTCTCCCCCCCCCCCAATCCCCCTCCCAGCAAGGAAACAAAGGGGCACCAATGTTGACTGGTTTCCGAGACGGGACAGAAGAGTTGAGCAGAGGCAGCCGCGGGGGTCGCTCCTTCGGGCCGGGCGCTGGGCAGGAGGCTGTGGGGACCCCCATCTAGGGGCGGGTGGGGGACGCAAGGGACCCTCTCCCCTCTCCTTCCCTGCTCTGTCTTCCCCTCGCACAGGACCCTGACTTGTTCCCTCCCCTTCCATCGTACGGGACCCCCTCTCCTCTCTTCCCCTCCCCTCCCTGGCACGGAACCCCCTCCCCTCCCCTGCCCTGTCCTCCCCTCGCACAGGACCCCCTCTCCTCCCCACTCCTCTCTTCCCCTCCCCTCCCTCCCCCCCTCCCCCCTCCCCTGGCACGGGACCCTCTCGCACAGGACACCCTCTCCTCCCCACTCCTCTCCTCCCCTCCCCTCCCTCCCCACTCTCCCCCTCCCCTCGCACAGGACCCCCTCTCCTCCCCACTCTCCTCTCTTCCCCTCCCCTCCCTCCCCACTCCCCCCTCCCCTGGCACGGGACCCTCTCCCCTCCACTCCCCTTCCCTGCCCTTCCCTGCCCTGTCCTCCCCTCGCACAGGACGCCTTGTCGTCCCCTCCCATCCACTCGTACGGGACCCCCTCCCTCCCCATTCCTCCCCCCACCCCTCCCCTCCCCTGGCACGAGACCCTCTCCCCTCCCCCCCTCGCACAGGACCCCCCTCCCCCTCCCCTGCCCTCCCCCTGGCGGGCGCCGGCGGTCCCTACCGGCTGGGCCGGAGCCGGGCGTCGCGCTTGCTGTCCAGCAGGGCCGGCACGCAGTTGGTGAGCTCGGTCCAGTCGGCGTGGAGGCCGCAGCTCCAGCCGGTGGAGAAGCGCGAGAAGAGCCAGGTCTCGCGCTTGCCGGCCGCAGGCAGGTGCACTTCTTCTGGCCGGCGCGGCACTGGCAGGGCTGGGCCAGCTGGATGTTGCGCACCAGGTGCCGCCCGAAGGTGGTGCCGCCCGTCTTCTGGATGTGCAGGAAGACCATCAGGTCGTCGCCCGCGATGCGGAAGTCCACGCGGCGCAGCAGCTCCGCCGCCGAGAAGTTCAGCCGCGGCACGAAGCGCGCGGGGCTCCCGTCCTCCGCCCGGTAAGGGTCCCCCGCCGCCCGCCCCCGCCCCGGCCCCCCCCCCCGCCCCAGCCGGCACCGGCTGCCCGGACACCCGTACTGCAGCACCAGCCCGCCGAAGAGCAGCAGCCCCAGCAGCAGCGCCGCCAGCCCCCGGTGCCAGCGCTCCTCCATGGCCAGGCCGGCGCATCGCCGCGCCCCCAGCCCCGCCGCAGCCCCAGCCAGCCAGCCCCGCCGCCGCCGCCGCCCGCTCCGCCCGCCCGCCCGCCCGCTGCGGCTCCAGCGCCCGCCCCCGGCCCGCCCTCGCCGCCCACTCCCCGCCCAGCCTTTGTCCGCCCCGGCGCGCTCCTGCCGCCGCTCCGCAGCCGCCCCCGGAGCCCCCCGCTGCGCGCGCCCCCCGCCCCGCGAGACCCCTCCAAGTAAGCCCCCAGCCAAGCCCCCCCCGGTGACCCCCCCCCCCCGCCCCCCCCGGCCAGCCTGCCCCCTCCCCGATGACCCCCCCAGCCAGGCGCGCCCCCTCCCCACTGACCATCTGGCCAGGCGCACCCCCTCTAAGTAAACCCCCCCAACCAGGCACACCCCTCCTCCTCACTCACCCCTTCGGCCAGGCCTGCCCCCTCCCCACTGACCCCTCCAGCCAGAAGTGCCCCCTCCAAGTAAGACCCCCCCCGGCCAGGCGTGCCCCCTTCCCACTGACCCCCCCAGCCAGGCACACCCCCTCCCCAGTAACCATCTAGCCAGAAGTGCCCCCTCCAAGTAAGCCCCCCGAGCCAGGCATGCCCCCTCCCGTTGACCACCCCCCTCCCCATTGACAGCCCCCCTCCTCGGTGAGCCCCCCCAGCCAGATGCGCCCCCTCCCCGATGACCATCTGCCAGGCGCACCCCCTCTAAGTAAACCCCCCCAACCAGGCACACCTCCTCCTCACTCACCCCTTCGGCCAGGCCTGCCCCCTCCCACTGACCCCTCCAGCCAGAAGTGCCCCCTCCAAGTAAGCCCCCCCCCCGGCCAGGCGTGCCCCCTTCCCACTGACCCCCCCAGCCAGGCACACACCCCTCCCCAGTAACCATCTAGCCAGAAGTGCCCCCTCCAAATAAGCCCCCCCAGCCAGGCATGCCCCCTCCCCGTTGACCACCCCCCTCCCCATTGACAGCCCCCCTCCTCGGTGAGCCCCCCCAGCCAGGCGCGCCCCCTCCCCACTGACCATCTGGCCAGGCGCACCCCCCTCCAAATAAACCCCCCCCCAGCACACCTCCTTCTCACTGACCCCCCCAGCCAGGCACACCCCCTCCCCGGTGACCATCTAGCCAGAAGTGCCCCTCCAAGTAAGCCCCCCCAGCCAGGCGTGCCCCCTCCCCGTTGACCACCCCCCCTCCTCGGTGAGCCCCCCAGCCAGATGCGCCCCCTCCAACTTGATCCCTCCTCCCCCCCCAGATGCACCCCCTCCCCATTGACCCTCCTCCGGCCACGCTGCATTCTTTGGCGCCTCCCAGCGGAGAAGGAGGAAGGGTCGTCCCGGGGAAGAGTCTTGCCCCAGTCACCAAACCAGGGACCCCCACGATGGAGCCTCAGCCCCGGCAGGGGCTTCAAGCGGACGGTGTGGCCAGGAAAGGTAGAGTGGTGCTGCACCTGGAGGTTTCTTTGGGAAGCAGAGGGGGGGCTGTCCCAGCAGGGCTGAAAGGTGAGAGGGGCTCACCTGGCCTGTCTTTGGCCCAGCAGCTGAGGGAGGGGCTCCCATTGCTATCAGGATTTCTACTCCTCTATTAATGCCGGTTCCCAAGCAAAGCCCCCCCCCTCTCCAGACCCTCTTTCTCTGGGCTGGGGGCTGACATCTTGATGCCCTCAGGGTGTCCCCCAGATCAGACTGCTCTTTCTGCCTTAACCAGGCACAGAAGCTGCAACTCTGTTTCAACTTCGTCTTTTTTACCTTTTAAAAATTACTAATTGTTTGCATTTTGTTTTTCTTGGGCTGCTCTTTGACTCTGACAGAGATGGCCCACCGCCAACTCTCTCACCCGCTTTCCTCAGCTGATGTTAGGGTTAGCCCTGTCAGCATTTGGCTTTGAATAAACAGTGGCTTAAACAATAACCCTGGTTTACAAACTCTGTGGTTACACAATAGGGGAACTAATTCCACGGGGATGTGCCCCTATTCACAGGATTGTGCTTCCCTCCATGACAGACCTCGAAGAGGTTATGCTCGCTAATTCAAAAGCAAAAGCTGAATTAGAGCAGCATAAAAAGATTCCCCCAATTAATGTTGGCACAAAGGCCAACATTAAGTCCTCAAAGGTGTCATCACAGAGACCCTACAAATATTTGAGGATTCGCCTATAGGAAGGAAGGAAGGAAGGAAGATGAGAAGAAAAGGAAGATGGGAGAGAGGGAAAGGAAAAAGGGAAGGAAAGAGAGAAGGAAGGAAGGAAGGAGAGAAGAAAAAAGGAAGGTGTGAGAGGGAAGGAAGAAAAAAGACAGAGGGAAGGAAATGAGAAAGGAAGAAATGAAGAGGTGTAGGAAAGGGAAGGAAGGAAGATGAGAAAGAAGAAAAAGAAAGTGGGACAAAGGGAAAGAAGGAAAAAAGGGAAGGAAACAGAGAAAAATGGATGGATGGATGGAAGGAAGGAAGGGAAAAAAAGGGAAGGAAGGTGAGAGAAAGGGAGACGGAAGGAAGAAAAAGGTGAGGGAAAGAGAAAAGGAAGGAAGATGAGAAGGAAGGGAAGGAAGGAAGAAAAAAGAAAGAGGGAAGGAAGGAAGGCATGAGGGAAAGAGAAGGAAGGAAGGAAGAAAAAGGAAGGAAGGTTCCATGAGTTTCTGGATTCAGGTTTTCCCTTCCAGGCTGAGCTGTCCAGGGTGACTCTTGCTCCGTCCATGCTGTGATGGACCTCCACATCTGGCTGGTCGAAGCAGCTCTTTCCTCCTGGGAGAAACGGAGAGCTTGAAGAAAGTGAGACATCAGAATTCAGTGGAGGGGGGGCGGGGGGGGGGGGGGGAAAACGGGACTCCTCACCCATGCAATAACACCAGAGGAGATGACTAATATTCCCTTGCGGTGCAGCGTCTGCGGTTGGCTGGCTAACGCAGGCAGATTGCAGAGCCAGAGAGAAATTTAGGGAGGAAAGAAGCTGGATTAATTCAACGTAGGAATATCCGCTTTATCGGCCTGGCTCTGGTTCTGAGGATGCCAAGGGGCTGCCCAGAAACAACAGGCCTCTCCTGGCTGCCATCCTGCTCCTGCTCCATCTGGTCTCCAGGTCTTGGGACAAAAATCACACCCCCTCTGTCTCTTTCTTTCTCCAAATTTGCACCCTGGCCATACAGAGTCTTACAGATTATCATTTTACCCACCTCAAGAAGGACGGAAGGCTGAGTCAACCTCGAGCCGGTTAGGATCGAACCGCTGGCAGTGGGCAGAATTAGCCTGCAATACTGCACTCTAACCACTGCGCCACCACGGCTCTAAATACATTTTTTTATAAGCTTAAATATATTTTTATATGGTTTTTATGTTTTGTTTTGTTTTAAAAATTGTGCATTGCCAAAAGTCGCTCTGTGAGGGAGATCGTTGGTCTCTAGATTTGATAAATAAAAATAAACAAACCATATATAATGTTGGCAGTCAGTTCATCTAGCCCAGATTGGCCCTAGGGTGTTCTGTATGATTTTAACTTCAGCCACAGAGGAAACCCAAATTTGTGGTTTGTAGATTGTGGTTCACCGTTCATCAGAATGTGCAGATCTGGTTAGCTGTGGTTTATTCTATAAGGCCCTGTTCGTCCAGCCCCAGACTCTTCATTTAAGCAACTTTCCCAAAACCCACAAGCCCCCCCCCCCCCCCCCCCCCCCCCCCGGCTCGGGGCCCCAACCCTCACCCCCAAACGAAGTAAAATCCAGCATTCTCAAACTTTTGGCAGCTCATTTTTGCTCTCAAACCACCACCCCAGGGATTCCACACCCCCCAAGAACATTTGCATCCGTTTTTAACATCTGAATACCGAAAATAGAGATTTCATGAATTATGAACAATACGGATTTATCTTTATTTATTTAAATTTTTTTTTGCTTCTTGTTTTGGGGTGTTTTTCAAGCGGAATCAAAAATAGTCCTTTAGAAGTGGCGGATAGAAGTCTGCTGCAGGGGCTTACGACGTCTCCCGCTATCTTGGGAGCACCTAACGAAGCAAATTATTGTTTAAAAAAAAACAACCAAGCAGAGCCGAGAGGCAGGTGAAGAAAAGGTTTTTGCCGGATTCCTCTGATCCTGCCTTAGAAAGAGGTCGTTTCGGGATGCCTGGAGCAACCTTTAACATGTCTGTTATCTCCAAGGGAGCCTCTATTTGCATTTTCAAAGCAGCTAGTCATCTTGGAGACACGACTTATGTCTGCGGCCTCAAGATTTGCTCTTTGGACTGGAGAGGGAGGGGAAAAGCCCAAGTAAACAAGCCAGCTCCCCCAGCTCCCAACACAGGAGCAAAAAAAGGACACCATAAGGTGATCTGTCAAACGTTTGCAAGCAAAAATACCTGCAGGCGGCAGAGAACATAATGAAAATGCCATCAAAGGGAGGATTGGTCTTTTGGGAAGCGAGACAGATTAGGGATCTCCGATTGGCTGAACTCCCTGTACTTCAAATCAGCAGGCCTAGTGGGGAGGGACGAGGGAAGCTGTAATTCAGCGACAAAAACACAAGATTCTCAGCCAGGCCTTTGGGCAGAACATCGCAAGTGGCCTCGCGCCGAAAGGGTTGGCTTCCTAGCAGAGATGGTCCTTCCAAATATGGCTGAATCAGGATGGGGCTCAGAAGCTTGTAAGCAGGCTGGATCAGGGGTGGGATTCAGCCAGTTTGAACGAACCGGATGCTAATTTTACATCCCGTTCGCCAAACCAGTAGTTGCAAGGACTGGCTGGCCCCGTCAGCCATGCCCCTCCCCTCCCAGGAGTCTCCACGCAGCCCGTTTTGGATGCCAGGTAAGTGCAGCACCCGCGTGGAGGCTCTGGGAGAGCAAAAGACCGGCCTCCCAGAAGTCTGGAAACGGGCTTGTTTTCGGCCTCTGGAGGGCCTCCAGAGCCCGGGGAGGCCATTTTCGCCCTCCCGGAGGCTCGGGAAAGCCTCCAGAGCTGCAGGAGACCGAGTAGGCCATGCCCATCATGGCCACGCCCATCCAGCAAGTAGGCAGAGAACTGGTTGCTAAA